GGAACATTGCAAAACCTCAGTCACCATCTGAAGCAGCACCAGTTGGAATTGGGTAGGGCCAAGCTTGAATGCTGCGTAATCCGTTGCAACACTTGATGAGAGTTTGGATCGGAATTGTGATGACAAGAGCTTAGGAAGTAGGTCAGGGGGCACTAATGGGGGTTCCCGGCAGGCCAGAACCTCGTTTTGGTTTGGCGACAAGATGGCGTCAAGATGCAATTCGGTGTGGAGATGGAAGGAAGTGTATCACAGAGATTGGAAAGTGTAGGAAGGGGAGAGAGTATTAGAGCATAGAGCGAAAGAATGAAGAGAATAAGGTGTGGTTCCTTTGGTTGGGCACTGACAAAGGATAAAAATGGAGATAGATATTTAAGAAAACTATTGAAATGTGCCCAATACAGCATGGAGAAAATTATAAAGAAAAAAAACGAAATATAAAACAAGAGGTAAATTTAAAATAAGTTAGAAAAGTAATATAGAAACGCGAGAAAATTTAAAAGTATATTAACTCCCAAAATAAGAAATCCCTGGAAAAAAAAAGGAATATAAAAGTGTGTGTGAGATTGTGTGTGGGGCGTATAAGAATATAATGTAGATCAAGAAGGAAAAAGACTTTTAAAAGCAGTCAGCCAGAAACGATTTTCTTCTTTCTCCTAGCTAAAAACATCCACGTGTTGAATTTCGTTTTGCCCTGTCTATTAATATTGACAATTCTTAATCCGCATTTATTGACGAAAGTTAATAACTTTTTACAACGGGAGTGAAAGATTAGGTCGGTGAAAATAGCCATGGTCTGTCCTGTCAATAGGACTGAGAATAATATCTCAAAATAGTAACACAATCACTCTAATGGTAAGATAAATTCAATATTCACTAAGCTGTTAAACGACAAACTCCAGATTGTAATCAAAATCTTTTTCAGAGTCGCCATCAAATATTAAAACTTTTATAAAACAAGAATTGGATTCTGAATGAAAAGACAAGAGTCAAAAATAGGGATGCAAAGTTTAATGCACTTATCTCACAAACAATTAACAGTAACTTTCTTTGATGGTCTTGTGCCAATCTGGATTTTCTTCGATATATGAAAAAAAAATTCTTCCATTAAAAAATGGCGTATATTTGGGATTTTGTTCTTGGATGTAGTTTGGAACATGACTGTAAGAAGAATTGCTGCGAAAGTTAGACTGATGATTTTGCAAGCATTCAATGAAAAATTATTTAACTTGATTTGAAATCATAATTTTGTTACCACTGAATTTCGAAAAGTCACTGACTTGTAAGTTACCAAAAAAAAAAAAAAATTGAAAAGGCACTCATTCAATTGTGTGCCATGCGTGATATACACTTAGACGATAATGTATCTTTCAAAACAGGACTGACGAGGCAGATTTTTCCCGCAGTAGGTTGCCATTTCTTTCTGCGGTAAACCAGTTGGCATCCAAGGCTATAGAACTCGGACTATCCTGCTATTTGCCCATAGTTGCAGGGTGGGGGGAGAAGAGGAGGATTCATACCTTTCCCAAGGGTATTAGCACATAAGTGAATGTAATGGATTCGAGTGGAATTCGAACTCGGCTCTCCGAAACTGCATCACTCATAAAAAACAAAAAAGAAAATTTTTAGGGGAAATATTTTTTTAGAAGCATTCTTTAGACATTCCTTGGGTTGCAGCACTAATCAGAATCGAAATATATTGAATTGTCTATATTTCTGACATGAGGAATTATAACTATATAAACTATTTCCATCGTTCGGACTCTTGTTATCATCTTTATTCCCATATTCACGGCGTTTCGGCGGCCAAAATTCCAACGTATAACACCTGAAAAAGGCCGGAGCGTACAACGACCGAAACATCGTGAATATGACAATAAAGCTGGGGACAACAGTCCAAACGGTCTAAATAATGTAAATTTGTCATCGATTTAGAAGGGAGGTCCTGTTTATAAAATTGATACGGTATCAAATCAATCCCTGACTTTTACAGAGTTATTGATATTTAGTACTACGCTTAAATTCGGGAAGTCTAGGTACCAAAAAGGAAAACTCACCAGAACACTTACAATGAAGACATTTATTAAAAATGTATAGGGAAGCTACGTTAAGGAGGTGAGAAAGGAAATGAAGCAGAGATGCCAGGTCAGGACAGATAATATTGCACAATCTTCTTTGGATTTTGTCAAGAATCTCTAAATCAGTGATACTCATCCGCCGTGTGTTCTTCAGTGCGCCGTAAAATATTGTCAAGTCATGCATATATGTGTTTGTGAGGAAGGAGTAATGGTATAAGGTTAGTATTTGATAAATGAATACGTATTAAAATTTTATCCCACATTAACTAAAAAGGCTTTATCATTTTATTGCCATTTTCTACTTCTTATTCATGTGAATTAGGTTTCTCAATCCTAAATAACATCAAAAATAAGAAGCGATAAAGACTACGCTCAACTAAAGAAGAAATGGGGGTCTGTTTATCGACCAAACCTTGAAGAAATCGCGAAAAAACGTCAGACACAAGTTCCACACTAAATAAGCTGCACAAATAGTTGAATAGAAACATTGAAAAAAAGTTCATATTTGTGTGTGCATTTTTTTAAAAAATGAAAAAAAAAACGTCAGACACAAGTTCCACACTAAATAAGCTGCATTGAATAGAAACATTGAAAGAAAGTTCATATTTGTGTGTTCATTTTTTTAAAAAAATCTATGGTTTATTTCATATCAATAAAATGTATACTCTTTAAAAATTTTGCTAAGTGTCCCGTGATATTTTCATTTGCTTCTAGGTGTGCCGTTGCTTAAAAAGGTTGAGAAATATTGGTCTAGATATATAGCAGAAAAACTCGACCGGATATGGCAGCAATATTCACTGCCCAGACGAATGACAGACTTATAAATGTATAAGAAAGATTCTGGCAATAAAAATTGTCTCGAACATCACAGTGAACCAACTTGTTGAGCGAGCAGTAAACCAATCAAATGATTCAATATAATCGTTCCACTTCATGCTAGTGGTTTTTAAAAAAAGGGCTTCTTTAAAACGATTAAATGGTGTATGATGATTATAAAATCCATGTAAAATAGGTTTGCAATGAAAGCTTATGAAAATTCGGTGTTTTTTTTCCATCAGTTGGATAAGAACTATTCTTTAGCCACCTGACCATTTTCTGTTTTTTTTTTCTTTTCTGTTCTACCACTAAAAGACAATTTTTTTTTCGCAACAGGACCAATTTTGCCTAAATATAGGTTCATTTTTGACACTGAATTTCTGCATTCTTTGATTACCTGAAATCATGACTAAAATTTCCAAAGAAACCAGGATAAAGATTGTGAAGATGTCCAAGAATATGAAGCAGTAAGAAATCGCTAAGGTATTAAAAAATATTCAAAATTTCTCGCAAAGTCTCAAAGCACTGGAAATGTTTTGAGTCGACCAAGCTATGATTTTCTTCTAACGCTCCATTATAGAATATTACGGAGACTGATCAGGACAGAAAAAAGTTCAGTGAAAGAAGACTGATCGACAAATGATAGGTGAATACTTGTTCATTTTTGTGCCAGTAGGTAATACTCAGTGCATGCTTCAAGAACATGGACTGAAGAGATTTGCTTCAATGAAGAAACCAGCTTTGATTAAAAAGCATTTGAAGACAACATTAGGTTGGTCATAGTATGAACTGTTGCATACAGACGATTGAGATAAGACCACATTCAACGAGGAAACGAAGATGGAGCTGAATTC